TAAGCACCCACAAACTCTTTTTTTACAATTACTAATGCAACAAACTGTGCTAGTTACAGAGTTTAGAGTGTGCCTTTAAATAATAACCTTGTTTGGTTAAACTGGCTAAGAATTATGGGAAACTGAGTTCACAAAAGTCTGTAGTGTCAAAGGTCACTATTAATGGAATAGTAGAATGTTCTGAGACAGAACATAGTGTTTGGCCACAATTTTTTCAGAGGGATTAGCCACGTATTAGTTTAATACATAGTAGTGACAACAAAACCCTCTGACTGTCTTAACCTCTTCCTATTATTTTCTAATTTGTTTGTTCAGTTGTCCTGTTTCTTTGACCCCGAGTGTACCCTGCATTGTCTCTCTAATCTTCCTCCACACGCACATTATAGAGATTTTCCCATTACTACTTTCTGTCTTTTATCATGACTTTAACTAATAAAATAACTGAAATTTGATAGTATGTCTTGGATCATATACATCTTCTAGAGCTAATAATGAAAGCAGAGATAAGCTGGGAAATGTTAGATATTTGTAGCTTTGCTTGATGTGTGACGTTCTATCTCAATGAATTGCAGTATGATGGTGTGGATTGGAATAAGCAGTGTAGCTGTAGAGCCAAGTGCTGTCTGTGTCACCGGTAGTCGGCAGTACAGCTTTTACAATATATAGCTATGAACTCTACATACCTGGTATCTCATTTGAATATAGGGTGATTAACTAACCAAAAGTGGGAAATGCAACTGAGGAATAATAATATTCTATACCAGTGAAAAAAGCAGCAGTGTAATCAGGAAAAAAATGTATAATACTGCGAACAAGTCTAAAGGTACAAACATGAGAAGGAAGCTGAGGCCACAGTGCGTGCGTCCTCTATAATGTATTTGCCAGTTAGCTCCCTAAATGTCACTACCACACATACACACTGCATATGGGTATTTACAGGGCCCCTTTCTTATTAGTATGTTTTAATGTTTTGTTCTGTTCTGAAAACAAGATATATTTTCAAATGAAATATATGACTGTTTTTGGCAACTAACGTGTTAATCAGTCATCGATATGACACATCAACTACTTAGTCCACTAGCCATCCATAAAGCAATGTGTTGTCAGGGCCCAGACGAGAATAGGAATAATGGGCTCATTTTACTCATTATACTCATCTTTTCGATAGGTAAGACAAATAAGAGAGCGTTTACTGCTTCATATTCTCTGGAGAATATGAACCCAAATTATCTCTATACCAAGGGAAAGGATTAGCCTTATTATTTTTATTAAAAATCTATTAAATTGATTATCATGTATTGTGATTTTACATGAAGAACTTGAATATTATTAATAATTTTAGTAGCAAACACAGGGGTCAATGAATTACTAACGACTGGCAGTCCTATCACTTTGAACCAGCACACAGAACATCAGACCAAGATCTCCATGACTTACGGCTATTATACCCACAGACTAGATGTCTGTATGTTGGATATTGCTGGCAATTTGAATGCGCCCTTTGCTCCCCAACCCCGAAATAAAGCGGATAAAGGATAATTTATTAACTGGACATTGCAGGCCTAAAAACATACTCATATTTGACCATTGTTATGTTTAAATGTGTGTATGTGCATATTTCTGCTTGTATTGTATATGTTTGATTCTGTAAGTATAGTGAGTGTTTGCAGCTGTGTAAATGAATGCAGGTTTTAAGATTATGTTAGAAGTGGTTAGGGTAAAGGCAGGTTTAAGGCCAGAGAGGGGTTAATGTCAGAGTTAGATTACATAGCACTAACACATGGAGAGGGGTTGAAGTTGTAGTACAAGGGCTGTTCAGGATTATTGAGTTTAGCACTAGAATTGGGTAAATATAGTATTGGGGTACATGAGGTGTTTTTAAGAGGAGTTAAATATAGAATTAAGGTAAAGGGCTTTTTGAGATTTAGGCTTTGGTGATTGAGTTATTTGCAAAGTACTCCCCCCTCCTATGACTTATGTATATCAGATAAAACAAAAGTACAGGGGTTTTATAGGTGAAAACTCACAGGAACCAGAGCTCTATAACCCCTGGCTCTGGGTTTGAAGTGTTCCAATTGAGAGGGATAACAACCAGGTATCCAGGTGGATGTCACCAGATGCTATGTTCAGTTAGATGTGTATCAATCCTCTATGTATATGGGAGATAAATAGAGAGGCAGGAACCCCCAATTGAACAGTAACTTCCACTTCCTGCCCAGCACTGAGTTTTAAACCTTCTATAACTGTTCCTGCAGATCAGCTAGTAAGGCTGACTGGACTACAAATGGCACTGGCCAAGACTCCTGGTACTTTTCTCCCCACCATTCCTTTTAAGCTCAAAAAGGTACATCATAAACAGGCGCCCCCTATTGGTTAGATGCCTGCTCTGCCTAATGAGAAATTCGGCCCTGCTTACTTATGTATCCTACGGATGTTGTCCTCCTTTTGGTGCTCTGGACTTTGCTGTTTCTTTATCTTATATAGGGCATAGTGTTTCATGTGACAACTTTAAAAGATCAAAAGTTAAACCCTGGTACACCGCTGTAGCGCTCACTGATCTAAAGTTGGAACTCAGATCAGTGCTGGAGTAAACTTAACTAAATTTGAACACTCTATAATGATGTCAGCCTAGAGGTGCTCAGGCACCGTAGGATTATTTTACTACAACCCTATTAGATATTAACTACATATTATTGTAGCTTCTCTAGTTTACACTAACATGAATTACTTTTTCCTTCCCTCTCACTATCTTTCAAATCTCTAGACTACTCTCATAGAAATGGTGACCTAGTCAGACCACATGCCTTTATTGACTGTTCCGTCACCACTATACCAACTGGAGGCTCAAGAAAGCCTTGCAAACTGATGGACTACTACAGCAAGAGATTCGGTCCACTATTAAACATTATTGGGCAAGAACGACACTGCTGAAGTGTCATCCCTTTTAGGGGAAGTGCACAACTGCATCGTTAAAGGCCTGTTTACCGCCCAAAGTGCAAATGAAATCACTGCTAGACAAGATCACATCTGTGGACCACTCGTGTTGGCAGACCGTTTCTCTTGTCTTAATACTGCTCGAAATGCTACATATACAAAAATATTTTCACTTTTCTGTTGGAGACTATTTACACCCACGGCATATATGACTTAGGTTGGCTGGAACTCTGCTCCAGGCCGCCTAATATTAATTATTTCCAAAAATGACATCTGTTGTCAGTGTGCACTATGTGATGACGAAAGACATTCTCAGTTCTCACGAGGGGAAGCTTGATCCCCCCTCCTTATGTGTGATTCTTTCCAGTACTTTTGGTTACTTTATGATTCTATTGAAAGCTAATGAACATGCACAGTTTTATGATGTATCTGACTTTTTCATGTCATATTAAGAATTAGCAAAGTCCCAAAACTTCACCAACACAAAAATGTTTAGGGAGAAGTTGTCAGATCAGAGCCCAAGTCATCATGCAAACAAAAGTTTGTTTCGGCTCTACAAAGTAACCTACTGCTACAATGACATTGTTAAAACATTTATCTCTTGCCTTCATGCTGTTATAGTACATTTTCAGTTTTATCCAGATGATGAAGAAGAAACAGACCAAGATGAAAACCCAACTAACCCCCTGAAGGTGACTTCATAATGTGTATAAAACATTGGTTATTATAGGGGTTTGCATAACTGGGACTTTGATAGAACCTGGTGAATCTACACAGGGATCGAGGCAGTGGTGAAGCGCTCACCTTAAAAAATAATATCAACTTCTGTCTGTGAGTAAGGAAAGAGGAAACAAATGTGCAATTTACATTTTTGTATGCTGTATACTATAACCATCCCTTCTTCTCCATTTCTATGTTCTGTGTCCCTTTCCCATTTAACTTTACTTTCTTTTGAAAAATCTATTAAAAAAATTAATTAAAAAGCATATGGTGTCACCTGCAGGCTGAGTCCTTCAGATCTTGTGGCTTCTGAACTTTGCTGATTAATGGTGAGCACGGCAGGAGATGGCTCATAGTGACCTAGAATGTATGTATGTTAGTGTGCGTCTGTGTGTCGGTTTGTGTCTTTGTTTTTGTGCTAGTGTGCACTGTGCATTTGTCTGTATGAACTAGTCAGGGTCTATGTATGTACATGTCTGTGTGTCTATCTATGTGTATGATTGTGTTGTTAATTAGGCTGGTGTGCATAGCAAGTTATGCTTGCATTTATGTGTAGCTAATTTTAGCTTGGTAAGAAGATCATTTTTGATATATATCAATAATCATTTAGTTTTGTCTTGGTGACCCTGATCATGTTAAATTGACAGAGTCAAAAACAAAGTCTCACTGAGAATGGATGAAACCAAGCAGCTTTTCATATTGGTTATTTTTACTTAGGTGGTCTCAAATTTAACTTCACCTGTACCATTGCTGATAGAACTTGTACCACAACCATAGCAGATGGACCAGTTGAAAAGACAGCCAAATGGTCAGTGTATTGCAAAATATATACATAATATAAATAATATATATATATATATATATATATATATAATTTATATATTTTGCCGTACACTTCTAGGCACATTTCCCTCCATTTGGTTCACAGATCAAGTAATTAACCAGGGTGCGGGGCCTGACTGTCATGGTGAAGAGACGCATCATGAGCTAGCTCCTCCACTATCCTGATTAATAATCACTCCTGTGACCTCACTTGGATCGCAAAAATAAGGCCAAGAGAAGGATTATCTCCCCCGACCTACCTGACACGCTGTGCCATTGATACAGCCCTGTCAGGAGCTACTTTATACCACTATGGTGAATGAGGTCAAATGTGCGCCCAGGGGAGAGGTGGCCACTCTCCTGAACTGGAGTCACCAAAACCAACTAATTTCAAGCAAGTGCCCCGTTACCCCCCCCCTTTGGACCGGTGAGGGTGATCCCGGTCCACATCAGAGAGGAAACCAGTCTATAAAAAGACAGAAGAGAAAACCCACCGACATTGTATTTTACCTTGCCTTCCAAAAATGGCAGAGATCCCTGGTGCCACCAGTCCCGGTGCTGCATTACCTGATTTTGTGGTCAGGCTCAAAACCATTTTTGATTGTTTCTGGAGGCAGCTGATGCACAGAGCCGGAGAGCACCAGCAACAGAGAGACACCCACGAAACATGTATCCAGCCAACTTGGAAACCTACCAGCACGCCCCAGAAGGAGAAAGCATGCTCTAAGCATGAGGCAAACCCAAAAATGGTGGAGATGCCCAGGCTGCCACACCACAACCACAGCAGGGAGGAACATCCCAACAGTTCAACTCAAGCCTACTCTATCCCGAGTGGATTGTTTCCAAGGAAGGCCTCTGAAACCCAAGCTGGGTCCCCCTCTACACTCCACTATGGAACCACTGCAGCCCACACCAAAGCCACTGTGCCTGCTGACTGTTTTGCCACCTCACCACTCTGCAATACCTCAGAATGGCATTGGATGACCATAGACTGGGACTCTTGCCGGCTGGTACTAACCTCCTTCTAATGCCTTCACAACGCTTGGTCTTAGTTTATTCTCCCACTCACAACCATTAAAAGGCATATAGATCCTTTATTTAACTTTATTTAAATTCTCTATGTTATGCTTGTGAAGCTTGCCGCCTGATAATTTTAATGGGGGCCTCTTATGTGTTCCAAGTATGTTTTAGACATACTTTTTGTACTTGCATTATTGTGACTACTGTCTTGACACGTCTACTGCTAATTACTCTATTACTAAAAAAAAATGTGCAGCTCCTTGCAATGCCATACTACTGTTTTATACTATCCTTTGCCATTATGCTTGATACTGTTGTTGTGGTTAAACAAGCTTGTTTGTTGTCATATGAACAACAAAAATAAAGAATAATAAAAAAATAATTAACCAGTCAAACGCAGAAGAGAAGGAGCTGTAAATTTTACATTTTTATTTCCTTGACCATTTTGCTGCCTGGCTTCCTTACTTTCTTTCAAGAAATATCCCATCCCTAATTTTCAGGGATTTCAACTTTCCCATAAACCCACCCTTGTCCTCGATAGCCTCAAAACTTGTTTCAATTGCCTCCTCCTTTGGCCTATCGCAATGGGCTAATTCTCCCACACATGTAGCAATACCCTAGATCTTATTTTTAAAAATGAATGCTCAGTCTCCAATCTCTGTAATACTACATTTCCTCTATCAGACCACCACCTCCTATCATTTGTTCTTGAGTGCCCCCACACCCAATATCCTCAACCTAATCCCCCTCAACTCAGGAGCAATTTAAATTCTCTTGATCTCCAGCAGCTATCAACTGTAATGCATTCTGAACTCTCATTCATCCCTTCCCTCTCCTGTCTCTCTCTGACTATCTCCTCATATAACGCTACCCTCACCTCTGCCATAGACACTGCAGCCCTGCTCCAAGCATGCACCTCAAGGAGGGCGTGAATCCTACCTGCAGAAAAGCTCCCGTTCAGCTGAATGCCGCTGGAGGAAGTCCCGCACCTTGTCAGACTTCCTCCATTCCAAATTTATTTTGTCTTCATATAGCACAGCCCTCACTCTTGCTAAACAATCCTACTTTTCATCTATTGTTAGTTCATGCTCACGCAATCTCAGGTGTCTCTTTAATACCTTCAACTCTCTCCTTCGCCCACCTCAAGTCACCCTTCAAACTGACCTTTTGGCAGATAGCCTTACATGCTACTTTACCGACAAGATTACACAGTTAAGGAAAGAATTCTCCCTCCTTTGCTCCTCCCTTTCACAACCACACATTGACCGTACCTTCCCTACCCTACAGGCCTTCTCCCCAGCTACAGAACAGGAGGTGACTTCGCTTCTCCTCTCGTCCCACCACCTGTCCACTTGATCCAGTACCTTCCCACCTTATCAGATCTCTCTCCCCTTATCTTGTACCATCTTTAACACACATCCTAAACTACTCTCTTTCATCTCGTGTTAAGCATGCTACTGTTGTACCCATCCTAAAAAAGCCATCCCTAGACCCGTTTTCCCCTTCCAACTATCGTCCCATATACATGCTTCCTTTTTCCTCAAAACTTCTAGAAAGACTTACTCGTATGACTCACTTCCTAAATTCCAACTCCCTCCTCAATCCTCTTCAATCTGGCTTTTCCCCCCTCCACTCTATTGAGACTGCTCTTATTAAAGTTACAAATGACCTAATCGCAGCTAAATCCAAAGACTCTGCTGCCTTTGATCATGGCCTCCTTCACCTATCTCTTCAATCTCTTGGTCTCTGTGACACAGCCCTCTCATGGTTCTCCTCCTATCTCTTGCAACGCCCCGTCAGTGTCTCTTTTTCCAACAACACCTCATCTCCTCGTCCTGTCTCAGTCCGAGTCCCTCAAGGTTCAGTTCTTGGTCCCTTTTTGTTCTCTCTCTATACTGCCTCTCTTGGCAAACTCATTAATTCATATGGATTCCACTACCACCTGTACGCTGATGACAACCAGATATACCTCTCCTCCACTGACATCTCCCCTGCTGTCCTACAACGTGTCACCAATTGCCTCTCTTCTATCTCTGATTGGATGTCCTCCCGCTTTCTGAAACTCAATCTCTCTAAAACTGAGTTTCTTATTTTTCCTCCTCATAACACTGACCCCCTCCTTCACTCTCCCTGCAATTGACGGTACCTGCCTCACCCCAAGCTCGCTGTCTTGGTGTAATTTTTGATCCTGGCCTCACCTTTGCACCTCATGTCCAGTTTGTTGCTAAAACCTGTCGATTCCAGCTTAAAAACATTGCCCGCATACGCTCCTTTCTTACGCAGGATGCTGCCAAGGAGCTTGTTCATGCTCTAGTAATCTCTCGCATCGATTACTGTTATTCCCTCCTAATTGGTCTCTCCAGAAGCCATACTGCCCCCCTACAATCTGTGATGAATGCTGCTGCCAGGCTGATCTTTCTCTCCTGTCGCTCCTTTCACACCTCACCCCTCTGTCGATCCTTACACTGGCTTCCTGTACCCTAAAGGTGTCAATTTAAAATACTAACTCTTACCTATAAAGCCCTAACCAACTCTAGCCCCTGTTACATTTCTTTACTGAGTCATAGGTATGGCCCCTCTCGGTCTCTCCGCTCTGCTGGTGACCTTCTCCTGTCTGCTGCTCACACCCTTACAGCAAATTCACACCTGCAAGTCTTCTCACGGGCTGCTCCTTTCCTTTGGAACAGCCTGCCTACCCTGTCAGACTCTCCCCTAGTCTTCAATCCTTTCAGACGTTTCTCAAAACCCATCTTTTCAGGAATTCTTATAGTCTCCTAGAATAACTTCTATCTCTCAAACCTTCCTCTCGCTCTATCTCCTAGAGGGCCACACTCCACTCTCACCTCCAGTTCTGCTAATTTCCCACCATGTCTATTTGCTGTCTCTCTCAATACGAAGGGTATTGAAAAAAACACAATAGGAAGGCTATTGTGTTTTTATACAAAAAAAATATACTATGTACAGGCACTCTTTCATCCGTATTGGTGCAAAGTATCGAGGTGGCCCACTTAATACCTCAAAATATACAAAATACAAAAAATGATACTGCACTCAAAGACAAAGATAGAATTCATTACTTAATTTAATAAATCATTGAATAAATCATTATCTCAGATGGATATAATACTCTAAAGTAAAAAAAAATAAAAAAAATGAAAAAATGCAAAAAGGGAAAAATAACTATATACAGTCCCAGTGTGTACACACTACAGTATATGGGTGGATCTCACCGCTTTCTATAGAAGGATAGGTCCTGTTTCCAAGTTATCCGTGTTTCTTGATATATAAAACGTTGTGTAATAGTGAATCCTTGTAGTTGTAGTAAATCTTTTTCTTTCTCCCAGATTGTAGAAGTCCCACACTTATTCTGGAGGTACCGGGCTATATCTTCTTATCTGCTTCTTATCTGACAGGGCCATTAAAGGGAATTGTGGAGATCCCGAGTGCGCAGCCTGCCCATTAGATCCTGGACCAGCAGATAAGAAGCAGATAAGAAGATATAGCCCGGTACCTCCAGAATAAGTGTGGGACTTCTACTTCTATGCGGATATTCGAACAATGGTTCCTTATACGTTCTCTTAAGGGGAGGTCTGTCTTGCCTATATAGGACATTCCACAGGGGCATTGCAACTTGTAAATTACAAAGTCTGTAGTACAGGTAAGTCTGTGTTTAATAGGTTATCTCTTCCCTTTATGTGGGTGAGTGAAGTATTTACCTGGTGACATGTCACTGGTAGGGGAGTAGAGGCCTATACTGCTGATGGCTTATATTGAATTGGTCGTCTTGGAGAAACCTTCTTACCTTCTAGAAAATTGGCTTTTTAATTTGTGTTTCAATGTTAAAATCTCAAGATAACACAGGTCAACACTAATTCATTGACAATTATATTAAAACAATTTTAGAGTATGTTTATGTTGCTTATTCTGAATATGAAATAGTTTTTTTCTAGATTAGATCTAATTTTTGAGATCGTAAATATATCAACTGAAACCCATAAAAATGTAATGATCAGGTATACCCTAACCTACAAATCACATCTCAAATCATACAGTTACCTAATGGCGTTGTACTCAGTACAATAACATAAAGACGAAGTAAGCTGATTGACATCACACACTTAATGTAGAGAAAAAGAAAAACACTGTTTGTACACTTTTCTTTTCTGTGGGTCATCACGACAATGAATTGGAGGCCCCAGCATTAGTCTATCATGACATGTCTGTCTTATCTGCTTTTTAGAAAAGTTAAAACTTTTTCTTTGTCCATTTTCCCACTGTCGTTTACTGGGTCTCCAAACATCACTCCAAAAAAAAAAAATAAGTGGCTTCTCATACAAAGTCAGCTGTGTTTTTTCTTAGCTTTTGCAGTGTGTAATTGCCAGAAATATAGCAGAATATAATAGAATCATTTAAGCAGCCTCTTCAACAAGAACTCTTTTTTTTCTAGGCAAAACAAAAACAAATACAAGGAATCAATAGGAAATTATATGCAATGGATGCACTTGCAAAACAATGCTAAATATAAGAATTGATTATATATTATATTACACAAAAATGTTACAGAGCGAAAAAACAGACCAAACACTGCTGCATATGCCACAGGTCGTATTGGAGTAAAATCATAATTTGAGGGGTAACCATTATCTCAAAAAATAAAGCTAATTCTGAAAATAAAACTGAAACCACTTTGGATTCAGCACCCTGAAAATATCCGAAAATTCTTCAAACCTCCTTGGCAAGTAAACAAAAGTAGTTTTTTTAACCAGATCTTTCCTACTATATTTCACACATCTTTCACGGACCCTTATCTTGAAATATCAAACACATGCAAGAAAAGAAAGGTAACGCAGCTCCTAGATGTTTTATTGGTGAGAAGCCAAAAACAGGACAACGGTGAAGCTAAGGGTGAAGAGGTTCAGGGTAGTATCCGTTACCCTTCTCCCGCTAGGCACCATGATGCAAATGGGAGTCCCACCTGGGGTCTTCACAAATAATGCAAAAAGTGTCAGTGCCACATTAACCGCTGTAAGACGATCTAGAATTGATATAATATGTAAAAAATATATAATACAATGTTACGTTTCTTGAATCTTAAAGCCTCGATCTTTCAAACCCTTACATAATTTGCACAGAGGGAGTAAGACCGTCCACATAGATAGCCATGAATTTTGCATGCAAAAGACGGCCATTTATATGTACTTGTCCAGAAGATGAAATTTTGCCAGTCCTCCCTTGAACAACCCATTGGCCTCCTGCACTGTTCTGACCAATTCATAAATACTTCTGTAGGTTACTAGGTTTATTAGGTTCAATCTCCCCATTCTCACCTTTCTTATTTTTACTGAAGGATTATACCAGTGGCAGGACTAAAATAGAGAGGGCCCTGGTGCAAGAGTGCAAGAAAAGGTAGATCTCCATCTGTCGTACAACGCCCACAATGCTTTGCCGGCTGGCATCCCCATCTGTCATACAACTCCTACAATGCATTTCCCAACCTTGCAGGTTTATACTTAGCAGCAAGTAGTGTTTTTATGTTTGAATGTAAGTATGTTTATTTATGGTGTGTGTGAATGTAGGGTTGTAATTGTGTGTAGTGTTGTGCTTTGTGTATTTATGTACTTCTGCCATTTGAAAGCAGTAGTTTACTTGTGTAATACTTCCTATTGATTTGGAGTGGAACTCAACTGCAGAATTATAATTAGGAGAACCCTTAGGTTTTAATAGAATAATTAGGAGAGATAGAATAATTCTTAAATAAGGTTTATTTAATAGTGGAATGATGAGAACAGTCCCAGTGATGTGAAGAACACAAAATGAAGATAATTTGAGTTCGATGAGAAGGGTTCCTGTAGTCTTAAGGAACACGATATGTAGAAAGTTTGAAGAGAATAGTTCCTGTAGCTTTAAGGGAACAATATGAAGATAATTTGATGAGAAGAGTTCATGTAGCTTTAAGGAATATGATATAGATGTAGTTTGATGAGAGGAGTTCCTGTAGCTTTAAGGAACAAGACATGCAGATGCAGGAATGCAATGAGTTCCTGTAGCTTTAAGAAATACAATATGAAGATAGTTTGATGAGAGAGTTCCTGTAGCTTTAAGGAACACAATATGAAGATAGTTTGATGAGAAGGTTCTTGTAGCTTTAAGGAACACAATATGGAGATAGTTTGATGAGAAAGTTCCTGTAGCTTTAAGGAACACAATATGGCGATAGTTTGATGAGAAAGTTCCTGTAGCTTTAAGGAACACAATATGGCGATAGTTTGATGAGAAAGTTCCTGTAGCTTTAAGGAACACAATATGGAGATAGTTTGATGAGAAAGTTCCTGTAGCTTTAAGGAACACAATATGGAGATAGTTTGATGAGAGAGTTCCTGTAGCTTTAAGGAACTCGAGTATAAATTTAGTGACTTATTTTTATATGGAAAGTTCATAAGACGAATCCATGTGAATAGGTTCATGTAGTAAATACAATTATAACTTCCAATTAATCTCAGTAGGAAGACACATAGTGAAAACTGAAGTACCAAAGGAACAGTAATCATCCAACAATATAACTTGCATTTAAGATGATAAGCTTTATGAAGCAGAGAGTATCCAAAGGTAATCCGAGTCAATTGGAAGGTGAATGGAGATCAGCGGTTACAACAATCCAGGTTCAGTACACGTAATTTGTAGAAAGAGAGCTTGTTTGTAGGCGGTCTGATTGATCAGGAAGCTTCAAAATAATCAAGCACTTTGAATCTGGCATAGTTCCTCTAAGGAGTGTGAGGAAGCCGCGTCAGAGGAGGCGTGTCAATAGTCTTTGAACCCGGAAGTGTTGGATCGCGGCAAAGCCGCTAGTTAAGTTCTGACAACTTGTTTGTAGTGTTTGCCTTTGAATATAGGGATGTGTGCATGTACTGTTGATGTTTAAATGTAAGGCTATATATTATTTGTGTGTTTGTGTACAGTGTTGGACTTTAAATGCTGAGATGTACACACATATACATATACACTGCCCCACACAAACACACACTGATACACATACACAGAAATTTACAGTCACACACTGACACACCCAGATACACTGACACACATGCAGATACACACACTGACAGATATGGATACAA